AGAAATAATAGCCGAGCAACAGCTATTTAATGATGATCGTCTGACCCTCCTGTACCAGTCCAAGTTTATCAAGGTGTATTCAGAATCCACATCCAGGAAACCAGATGATATATATGAATACAGGATCAGCACTACAGGAGCAAAAGTTTTTGACGAAATCTACAACCAGATAGCAGAACAGATTACAGCAGAAGATAATGACAACTCATATTGGAATAGCTTAGGAGAAGAAGAGCTACACAACATAGATAACATGATGGATGCATGAAGACCACGTGAAGAATCCATCTTGCAGAACAGCCGCCAAATTTCTTGGCTCCATACGGCAGCAACATATGAAAAGAAGGAAGATTTCAGTTTCATATGGCTAGGATCCCCTAGGAAATCTAGAAATTAATAAGGGCATTACTGTCCAACCACTTTAATTTTGTCATTCTTTATAAATATTGTACTCATTGGGTTTATTTATAAGTCTCCCAAAATAAAAAAATAAAAAATGAATTGTAGAGTATTATGTAATTAATTTCTTTTTAAAAACGAAAAGTAAAATGTTTTTCTTTAACAGGCTTTGGATCCTTGGGAGAGGCTGCAGACATGGAGCACTGCAAGACATGTGGCTTTCGCAGACAACGCCACTGCGCACTTTCAAAGCGTCCTAAATTACGAAACTACCCCCACTTCTCATCCTAGCCGTTACAACCTTTTCAACCTAAAAAGACCCAATCATCACGACCGCCATAATAAAAACAAATCAAGGGCAAATTGGTACTTCCGCGTACCTCTTCCTCTTCTCTCACTGTAGTTTTTCCTCTCTACAGTGCTGAAACAAAAACATAAGCAAAACCCATAAACTCCAAAACAACTCAACACTCAGACTTCCTCCCTCTCTCACTCATCCATTTCTCTCTCTAGGTTTTTGTTGTTGTTTTGGTTTGGGTTCGATTGAAGTGTTCAATCATGGCGTCGTCGTCCTCCGATCCCGGTCCAAAGACCGAAAGCGGCGGCGGCGGCGGTGCCGGAGCAGAGGCGTCGGAGGCGGTGACGGCGAGCGATCAGCTATTGCTGTACAGAGGGCTCAAGAAAGCGAAGAAAGAGAGAGGCTGTACGGCCAAAGAGCGCATCAGCAAAATGCCTCCTTGTGCTGCTGGAAAACGCAGCTCCATTTACCGTGGAGTCACTCGGTAAGCAGCTGTTTGGTTACTGAGAAAATGTGAAAATCACGATTTTTTTTTTTTTTGTTTCCAAGCTTAGGCTGCTTGCTTGTTAGTCCGAAAATGTTTCAATTTCATATTTTTGATGCATTTATAAAAATAATAAAAAATAAAGGAAGAAATTTTGATTACTGGTATTGGAAATTTAGGCATAGGTGGACAGGTCGTTATGAAGCTCATCTTTGGGACAAAAGTACATGGAACCAGAACCAGAATAAGAAGGGAAAGCAAGGTCTCTCTTTCTCTCTCTCTCTCTCTCTCTCTCTCTCTCTCTCGCTCTCTCCCCAAAATACGCTTATATACATGCCTTTCTTCTTTTTTTGTTCCGATTTTTGTATATGTATGCATATGTAATTGCTGACAAGATTTGATTTTGGCCTGTGCATGGAACTATTGGCGCGTGATTCAATATGCCAGTTTACTTGGGTAAGTTGGTGGCTCAAGTTTTTCTTGAATTCCTTAAGAAACTGCTAATTATTGTGTAATGTATTATGCATCGTATCAATCGGTAATCCTTGAGTAGCATGTTTAATTTACAGGGGCGTATGACGATGAAGAGGCTGCAGCTAGAGCTTATGATCTTGCTGCCTTGAAATACTGGGGCCCTGGCACACTCATTAATTTTCCTGTGAGATTAGTGTCATTGATTCACTGTTTTCATTTTATTGTTTTTGTTGCATTTGGAGCTGCATCCATGGCCTATCATTTTTAAAATTTCTTCCCTTTTTGTTAATTGGGTATCATTTTTTTACTGTTAAATACTAATTGTGAAAATACAGCTATGTTTTCCAAATCAACATCTCAGTTTTTTCATGTCATGGATTGGAAATACATGACATATGTAAATATTTTTTTAGCTACACTATGTACAACGTGTCAATTTCCAGCACTTCTGTTGTCAACTGAAGTATTCCCTTTGTTGAAGTTTTTACTCTTCTTTCAATTACTTCAGGTTACAGATTACACAAGGGATCTTGAAGAGATGCAGAATATGTCAAGGGAGGAATACCTTGCATCTCTTAGAAGGTGTCTACATAGTTGTTTAAGTACATATTGGAATCTGAAAACTGTGCACATTGCTTATAGTAATTCTTTTCCTTCAGGAAGAGCAGTGGTTTCTCGAGAGGAATTTCTAAATATCGTGGGCTTTCCAGGTATATTTTACATTTAAATGTTGCTTGTGTGCACAATATGTGTAAATTCATTTCCAATAGAATTTCTTGGCACATTATGTTCTTCCTTAAAGATGCTCATTTATAAGTTTTTGAGATTGAAGTTTTGTTGGTTATTTAGTTAGAGTCTTTTTCTTCTTCTTTTAGGTGTCAACCGTCCCAAACTGGAATCGGGATAAGATGTAAAAAACTAGTTTATCACCAGTAGTAACAAATTATTTATTATTCATACTCATGGAGTTATGCATTGGAAATCTCAATTCCACCAGATTTCTGTATAATATTATGTTCTTTATATTTTCTTCTGTGGCTGTTCTCGGTTGTTCTTTTTTATTTTATTTTATTTTATTTTATTTTATTTAACGTTATCCAGTCTCCTTTTCCACCAAACAGACTGGAAAATTTAGGCATGCTGTGGATTGCATCACTACAGTGCCAATTTTTTTTAGTGTAGTTAAATTTCAGCTTGTAAAGGCATAAAATATCTGCAAGTGCACGTGAAATTCTATAGTGAGGGTGCCATATATGGACCTTCACTATAGAATTTCACTTAAGTTTAATGAAATGATCTTGTGGCTAATATGAAGGTCCATATATGGCACCCTCACTATAGAATTTCACGTGCACTTGCAGATATTTTATGCCTTTACAAGCTGAAATTTAACTACACTAAAAAAAATTGGCACTGTAGTGATGCAATCCACAGCATGCCTAAATTTTCCAGTCTGTTTGGTTCTCTCTCTCTCTCTCTCTCTCTCTCTCTCTCGCTCTCTCCCCAAAATACGCTTATATACATGCCTTTCTTCTTTTTTTGTTCCGATTTTTGTATATGTATGCATATGTAATTGCTGACAAGATTTGATTTTGGCCTGTGCATGGAACTATTGGCGCGTGATTCAATATGCCAGTTTACTTGGGTAAGTTGGTGGCTCAAGTTTTTCTTGAATTCCTTAAGAAACTGCTAATTATTGTGTAATGTATTATGCATCGTATCAATCGGTAATCCTTGAGTAGCATGTTTAATTTACAGGGGCGTATGACGATGAAGAGGCTGCAGCTAGAGCTTATGATCTTGCTGCCTTGAAATACTGGGGCCCTGGCACACTCATTAATTTTCCTGTGAGATTAGTGTCATTGATTCACTGTTTTCATTTTATTGTTTTTGTTGCATTTGGAGCTGCATCCATGGCCTATCATTTTTAAAATTTCTTCCCTTTTTGTTAATTGGGTATCATTTTTTTACTGTTAAATACTAATTGTGAAAATACAGCTATGTTTTCCAAATCAACATCTCAGTTTTTTCATGTCATGGATTGGAAATACATGACATATGTAAATATTTTTTTAGCTACACTATGTACAACGTGTCAATTTCCAGCACTTCTGTTGTCAACTGAAGTATTCCCTTTGTTGAAGTTTTTACTCTTCTTTCAATTACTTCAGGTTACAGATTACACAAGGGATCTTGAAGAGATGCAGAATATGTCAAGGGAGGAATACCTTGCATCTCTTAGAAGGTGTCTACATAGTTGTTTAAGTACATATTGGAATCTGAAAACTGTGCACATTGCTTATAGTAATTCTTTTCCTTCAGGAAGAGCAGTGGTTTCTCGAGAGGAATTTCTAAATATCGTGGGCTTTCCAGGTATATTTTACATTTAAATGTTGCTTGTGTGCACAATATGTGTAAATTCATTTCCAATAGAATTTCTTGGCACATTATGTTCTTCCTTAAAGATGCTCATTTATAAGTTTTTGAGATTGAAGTTTTGTTGGTTATTTAGTTAGAGTCTTTTTCTTCTTCTTTTAGGTGTCAACCGTCCCAAACTGGAATCGGGATAAGATGTAAAAAACTAGTTTATCACCAGTAGTAACAAATTATTTATTATTCATACTCATGGAGTTATGCATTGGAAATCTCAATTCCACCAGATTTCTGTATAATATTATGTTCTTTATATTTTCTTCTGTGGCTGTTCTCGGTTGTTCTTTTTTATTTTATTTTATTTTATTTTATTTTATTTAACGTTATCCAGTCTCCTTTTCCACCAAACAGACTGGAAAATTTAGGCATGCTGTGGATTGCATCACTACAGTGCCAATTTTTTTTAGTGTAGTTAAATTTCAGCTTGTAAAGGCATAAAATATCTGCAAGTGCACGTGAAATTCTATAGTGAGGGTGCCATATATGGACCTTCATATTAGCCACAAGATCATTTCATTAAACTTAAGTGAAATTCTATAGTGAAGGTCCATATATGGCACCCTCACCATAGAACGACTCGTAAGCACTGCCAGTAATTCATATTGTGCTTCTTCTTTCTGTTCTTAACTTGTTTTTTGGTTCTACACATAACAGTCGTTGGGAACCATCATTGGGTCGTATGGGTGGATCAGAGTACTTCAATAGCATACATTACGGTAAGTTCTCAAGAGATGCTAAATTCAAGCAATTTTTTGGGTGAGCAGCAAAATCAGTTTCCTCATACTCAATCTTGTGCAAAGAAATTGCAGATGCAGGCTTTTTGAATTTATTTATATTCCTTTCATCTGGATTACTACCTAAATCAGTGCCACTTTCCATCTGTCTTATGCCACTTAAAGGTACAGGTGATGATCCAGCCACAGAAAGTGAATTTTTGGGAGCTTTTTGCATTGAAAGAAAGTTTGATTTAACAAGTTACATCAAGTGGTGGGGAACCAACAAATCTCGTCAAGCTGACACTAGCACAAAATCATCAGAAGAAACAAAACATGGTTTTGTTGGAGACATTGGAGTTGAACTTAAAACATTGGAATGGGAAATCCAGCCTACTGAACCATACCAGATTCCCCGTTTGGGCATTTCCCGTGTAAGTAAAAAGCATAAAGGTGCCAGAGTCTCTGCCATGAGCATCTTGTCACGGTCAGCTGCCTATAAGAACTTGCAAGAGAACGCATCAAAAAAGCAAGAAAACAATGCAGATAATGATGAGAATGAAAACAAAAATACCATCCACAAGATGGACTATGGCAAGGCAGTTGAGAAATCCACAAGTCATGATGAGAGACTTAGTGCTGCATTAGGAATGAGTAGTGGATTGTCTCTCCAAGTCCAAAGAAATGCGTTCCCATTGACTCCCTTCTTGTCTGCACCACTTATGACCAACTACAATACCATCGATCCCTTAGTAGATCCCATTCTTTGGACATCTCTTGCTCCTGTTCTTCCCTCTGGAATTTCTCGTAATGCTGAGGTTGGTATTTTCACTTAGAGATCCCTCTTTTTGTTTTCTGTTTTTTGTTCCCAAGAGAAATAATAAACCATTACTTAGCTTGCCTCATAAATAACATGCATGTGATCAGTGGTTTGCTAGTACTCATATAATTGTATCTTTTTCTTAATTTGATTCATATAATGACCCCTACCAGAACATAAGTGAGAGCAAGTTTCTTTCTAAGGTTTGTTGAAGGGGTGGAGATTTTTTAATTTTTTTTTGCCAAGGGTAGATATAGTTCAAAACATATAACATTGTTTTTTTAGCATTAGTGATATGGACTCTAGTATAAGGACTGACAATAACCACATACTTTCTCGTCACGGGATGGAATCTTTTTTCTATAGGACATGAGATGGCATTGATCAGTTAATCTTATGTACAATCTGCATGTAGAAAATAATCGAATGAAGGGCCAATTATTGAATAGAAAAAATTTCTCAATAATATGGAAAAAGCAATTAAATTTTGCCTTTCCACTCCTCCCATGGTTTAGGGTTTAGGGAGAGCTCTATCCTTAATTTTATTTCCTATGCGACTTCACCTTATGAGGAATATTGTAATGCAGATTACAAAGACTGAGACAAGTTCAACTTTCACTTTATTTCGGCCCGAAGAATGATGCTGCATTTCCATTTGCTCTACAAGTTGATGAGGTGCATGTGTTCGTTGCCCGACTTCATCTGTTCAGGAAGTTGTATTGTACCTATGCATTACCATGCAACAAACGCAGTAAAAGGGCATGAATGGTCAATGTAGCTAGACAAGGCTTTTACTCTTTTTTTCTTCCAGGTTTGTATTACGTGGGGTGTAGAGAATATAGAAAGGGAGGTAAAACTTTATTGTGTATCTTTTATATAGAAATTTTTTAATGTATGTTGATCAACTAATTTCATAGAGCATTTACGTTACTATTGTTCCGAAGAGTTTGAGTGCTGATCCTTAGTTTTGCTGAATAAGTTGAAGACACGAGTTCTTGATTTGAATATATTGTACAGAAAAGATAGTTATTTGATAAACATGCACAAATTGGAATCATTGCTTGTTGCTGTTAATGCCTTCATCAAATGCTCACATGTTTTTGCTTATATCTTGTTACCAGAACTACTGTAATTGAATTAGCAAAAGTATTACCATAATCATGAAGTGTTGTGTTCCACGTGTGAATGATGCAATGCACATCCAAATTGGCCGGCGTTATATCTCCATGGTTTTGGGTTCTGGTTCTTGGTAGTGGTAATTGTAGGAGGTGTATTGTGATAATGTCAGCTGTCCACTTATCTCCAACTTACGAATTTGGTTAAAACAAAACTATGCGATCATATTTTTACTTAAATTTTCTTGGATTGTCGAATTCGATCCGTGCTTAAGATTTATCATTCATGGATGTTGATAAGGGTCCTCCCCAACAATGCTTTCTCTAGTTTAAAAGGGCAACCGATGTTACTAATGTTACCTTTTACTTCGTGTTACTGTCAAAATTGTTTTACAGGTGTTCCTGTAAATACAGATTTGTTTTTTCTTTTCTTTTTCTTTTTTGCTGAGAATTAAAAAAGGCGACAGTTTATAGAACAACTCTGCACCATTGAAGAAGGAAGAAAAGAAACCCATACAACCGAGATTCATGAATTAAAAAAGGGTTCACCTAGAAGTTGCATGTGCTTTTTGTTCTCATGAATCATGAACTTCAAGGCTAACATTTTCTAGCCAAACCAGTAAGAATGAGATTAAAATTCAGAAATTTCAAACTCTAAACAGACAAAGAAAGAGGCTTTTGAGAGCTTCAAAATTTTCACCCAGATACTTCAAAATATAACAGATCAATGTGGGTTGAATAAAAGAATCAAACATTCATCACCGTTAACTACTACATAGAGTCTTGGAACAAGCAATAACATCCAAATGCTCAATTAACAATACAGCTAAGAAAACCCTTCTGGAAGCAAGGGGGACTATCAATTTCAAGTTCAAATTGATGCTCCATCACACTGTACGCATTTTGGAGATTGGAGGGGAATCAATCCCTTGAAAACTATGGTGTTTACATCAACTGGAAGTCACAGTCCTCCGAAAACAGAGAGGAAACAGTGTGGAAACCTGGTGATTTTGGAGAGAAGGGAGGTGAGTCAAGCTTTTCAGACAGCCAGGATGGTTCAAGCTCATTCATCTCTTCCAAATCCAAATACCTCGGGGGAGACTCCGGCTGAACACAAAGACAAACAAACGGTACAGTCACAAAAAATCTAAACTGACGAAGTGATTGCAGAAAAAGAAAAAGGGGAATGCAAAAGTTACCTCAAATTTACTTGACGATGCAGGTGCTGCCCATGGAGATGCAAGATTCTTGCAAGAATCTGAACAAAAAATGAATTAACTAATGAATTAAAATGTCCAGAAATCATTGATATCAAGAAATTAAACTATTTTAAAAGTAAAATACCCTTATGTAGTCCAAGTGTCATCAGAAAATGATCCATGTCCATAGCCTGGGTGTGTGCTTTAATGCATTCTTCATGATTGTGCAGAAATCGTTCCTCTGCAATAGCACCAGCACAAATAGCCTCCTCCGCCACAACACTCAACTTCATGTTGTGCTTCTTCTGCACATGTGGTGCCTGTGAGTTTGAAATGTCAGATAGAGCCTTCCTGCTACGGGTCTGAACCTTATCTGAGGCCTTAGAAAAGGCTTTCTTATTGTTTGCATCATGAACCATTTCCTTGGAAAGCTGGTTTTTTGACGCCTGGGTGAGAGCAGGCTTCCCCGAATTCGATAGATCACCAAGTGGTTTCCTTGCACCAAGCCCCCCTCTCCTTTGTTTTCTGAAGGTATCACCTTTCCCCCCAAGAGAAGATCCTGTCATAGATATTATAAGGGTTAGACCAAACCAGCAGAACAACAATTTTGGACTTTAAAGAAAAGCAGAGCTAGACTTGAGCACCATGAGAGGGAACAATGAGATTCTGATCTTGAAACAAATGACCAATTGTTGATGCCATTGTGCTTTCTTGTAGTCAATTCAAATTAATCTTCTGAAAACTGTAGAAACAGCAGAAAAAGACTGCAGGAATTTAGCATATCTCTTCATATTCAATTGAGGGTGAAAGATACAATCAATCACTGATTATAATATGCCTAAGATCAGAATTTGACATTCTTGGCTAGAAAAATAAACATTAATCACGATTGAGCAACAATTTTTTGTGAAGAATACTCAAGAAATTAGATTGGATACCCCAAGAACTAGGACATCATACACACCAGACCCCCATGACAAGAAATACACTTCTGGGTCATCTTGATCCTAATATTCAACTTCCGCAGAATTTCACATCTATCTTCCCCAGTCACCAAATCATCGTCAAATCCCTAAAACCCTCCCTTACTTAGGGTTAAGCCTTGGCCCCCACAAATTGGGTGTCTTTAAATATTAAAGAAAGAAAGACAGACAAAGAAACATTCCACTGTAATCATAATTAATTAGTTACAATATCTTCTTTAACAAATATTAAAATGAAATTGATCAGAAATTAAACTTCACGTCCAAAGTCCTTCCCTTTCTTTCTGCAACTTGCAAATTGTTTACCCCACACGGAGAGATTTCTTCTATTTCATAACCGAAACCACAAATTGTACAAGATTAAGTACTTCAAACATAACTCGAACCCTAAATTAAACCCTAAATTTAAATCCTAAATCGTTTATTAAAAAAACCCAAAAAAACCCAAGTTAACAAACGAATCATAAATGAAAAGATGGCGAAATTATACCTTTCAGAACAGAGGCAGAGGGCTGAAGTGAAAATGAAGAAGGCAGATTACAAGTAGTTTCGTTCGCAGAATAAGCGCAGAGTAAGATCACAACAGAGAAATGCGTTTTTAAAATTTGAGAACAGAGAAATGCGTTTTTAAAATTTGAGAACAGAGAGGTCGGCCATATAGACGGATGGGATTCCAACGGTAACTTCATGTTGTTTTTACGTTAACACCCCTATTTTCAACACCTAATTACCAAAATTACATTTTTATGTTTATCCGTCCGATTTAGACACTTTGAATCCCCACCGCAATTGTTTTTTCTGTTTAGTACCCCAGTTATTCATGTCACATTTTCATATTTTGTGACTGTATACTATTTTTTTTTCTGCCTAATATTTGAAGAAGTCTCAAATTTAAATTATGTCTTCCTCAACAAAAAAAATTATTTAGACTTTGAAAAATAAAACCATTACCTCTTAACTTTAAAACAAATTTATTCATTAAACATACGATCATATAATGAGCATATTATGTTAATTATTACACATATTTAAACTAACATGAGTTTTGTAAGTGACTTGTAACAAGTTGTTAAGAACATTTAATCATTCATCCTAAGTCCTAGATTTAATTCCCCCTAATATAATTACATATAGTACACATACCGCATAAAATCACATAACACATATTCGAGCGGTTTTGAGCAAGTCCAAACAGGTCAGACCTCTTTGCACTCTATTGGTCTAGATCTCTAGCCAAGCTCGAGCTCATAAGGGGCGCTTCCAGCAGTGCCCCTTTGCTCGGGCAACAGGGGGTCCAAGCCCCAATTTGTAGTTCCAGTGAGCTTCTATAGCCCTGGCAGCACATGGGTCCCACCAAACTAGGCCAACCCAAAGACAAGAACAGCCTGAGCTGTTGTCTGGGTTTGCTGACGTCAACAACAACAAAAAAATTAAAAATATAAAAAAAAATACTAAAAATTTCAGGATTTTTTATAAATAAATACTTAGTCGTATTCTTCACTTCCCACACCAAAACGCTATACAAATTCCTCTCCTCATATCTCATGTAAATAGTAGTTGTCCTTGAGTTGACATGGCAATGAGTGGAAACACCACAAGCCTTTTGCAAGGGCTGCCACTATTCATGTGAATAGTAACAGCATTTTCCTTTTGTCATGGCAAATTGGTGGAAGTGCTCTAAACCTTACCCCAAGGCCACCTTTATGTAATATTGGGTCGGGCCATCCAATATATTATGACCGGCTGAGTTTTAGCCCACCACACTGAATGGGCTTACATCGGGCCTCAAGCTAGTGGACCAAATGATGATGGCTAAATGCAGGCATTATGAAACCTTGGAATGAAAACTGTTACAATCCCCAAGAAACATTAGAACTAGGGCTAGGCATGAGTTCGGTTCTCACCTAAAATCGAAACCGGAGCTGACACTATTCGTTTGGTCTTGTTTTTACGAAAAAAAATTATTAAATTGATTTGGTCTAATTTGAATTGGAACTTTTATTTTTCAATTTTTTGTTACAAAACCCAACTAAAATGTTTTTTTTTTAATCTTTAATGCTTAACAATTCACAACTTGGCCAATTTCATGCAAAGGGAGGTGATTTAGAGTTGGACTTGGAAAAAGATTAGTTATGGGCTTAGAAATTTAATATTGGGCTTAAATATTTTATTAAAAAATGCACAGTCGGTCTGATTTTTTCACTACAAGAATCTGAACTAAATCAAACTGGTCTAGTTTGATTTTTGGTCGTCCCAATTCAACTATGTTTTTCGGTTTTCCACTTTGAATGCCCACCCCCAATTAAAACAAATCAAAATTGGTTCAATCAGTAAGAGGGGTGGGTATGAAACTCAACATAAAAGAAGCTGTATAACTTGCTAAACTTAAAGTACATATTCTTTTATTTAATATTGTTAAGGTCGGGCCAAGCCCAAAACAAGTAGAACAAAGCTTGAGAACTTGGGAGAGAGAGGAGCAGTGGCGGACCTACAAAGGCGCAAAGAGGTACAATTGCACCTCCTCTCACTGGAGAAAGTGTTGTAGGTGTCAGAAAGTTGCACCTCCGCTCAGTCTGGTTGTGCACTCCACATGTTCGACAAAAGACCTCATAGGCTTGCTTTCCTTGGTTGAGCAGCTGCGTTGCGTTGTGCGCTTATATATATATATATATATTAAAATCTCTGGCCAAAACGAAGTTGTTTTGGATCGGGGAAAAAGAAGTCTCATTTCCTATTACTATTTCACTGCTTGTTCTTCCCCTTCACCTAAGAATAATAAATTACATTTGATGGGAGCTTACTTAAGTAAGACAGAAACTCGCTTGTCCACTAGAAAGATTGAAACTTGAAAATGAAGGTTAGATTTATTTCCTTCTTCCTAAAAAAAATAGGACTATCTAACTAAGGTGAGAAGCGAGCTGAGCTGCCAAGGATTGCTTGAAACCTCTTTGTTGAAAGTGAAAGTGAATACATGAGAATGAGAAAGACTAGAGACCCAGCTGGAGGATGCCCACTTTGAGAATCAATATCAAAGTGTAGAATAAAAAGGAGGAAACTCCTTTTGTATTAAAAAGATTTTGCTTTAAAAAAGAAGAAAATATTTTGCTTTAAAAAAAAGAAAGTCCTTTTTTTAGAGATTCTTCCCATCCCCACCAATCAAAGTCTATAAGATCATCAAATTCAATTTTTTTAAAAAAAAAATTACAACTCCTCCGCCAAATCTGTTTATTTTCTTCATTTTTTTTAGAGAACTCCAATCTTTTATAAAAACTGATTCATCGATTAAATTTTGTGCCAAGAAAGAAAATATTGTATCAATCAAGCTTCCAAAGTAAGTTTGAATGTAATTCAAACTGATTCATAATATGTTTTTATTTTAATTATTTTTATAAAACTTTTAGCCTTTCAAAATTGCACATTCGTTAAAAAAATTCCGAGTCCGGTAGTGGAGAGGAGGGAGGTGGGAATTCAAGCTCAAAATATGATGGTAACTAAAGATAATTGCTCTTAATCACTTGAATTACAATCCCCTTTCTTATGATAAGTTATTTTAACACTCATTTTTTAGCCACGTGCACTTGTTTTTTGAGTGCAGACAGTTGTATAATATTCCAACCATTTGAACTTTAAAATTATACTATATTATTTTTATGAACTAAAGATAAATCAATGCTACAAGTTACAACAACCAGATTGGACGAACCATAAAAGCAAAAGAAAGTCCAATTAATTGTTATTTTCCAGTCATGGATGGAGAAAGTGTAAGGGATCACCTGCTACCATTCACCTTTAAAATCCATTTGGTTGAATGGCAGGTTTTGACATCTTTTTGTTTGGTAGGTATTATCATCGTAATTATTTTTCTTTGAAAGATAATTTTCCATTAGCTAAGTTAACGAGGGTCATTAAATTGTTGATTATGTTTCTCAAAAATGTGAAATTATTGTATGATAATAAAATATGATCGATATATTTAAAATATTTTCACTTTAGGGTATAATACCAATAAAGTGGCAGCAAATCATTTTAGGATCAAGCTTCTTCTCTTAAGGGTTATAGATTCTAACTTCAGCTTTGCAACCCTATACATGAAGATGTCGCAGGCTAGCTTTTTTGGTAGTCCAAATTTCGAAAGGTGTCTTAGGCACGGACTTCCTAGGCACTCTATTAAGTATGTAGTTTGCTGTTTTGATCGCTTCTCTAAAAAAGCGTAGGCAAATAAGTTTTTAGAAATCTTCCTAAGAACCATGTCCTTCAAAGTTCGATTTCTTCTCGCAGCCACACCATCCTGTTGCTGAATTACTGGCGTTGTGTATTGAGCAGCTATTCTATTTTCTTGAAGATACCTAGTAAAAAAAGTTTAGCACGTCTTCCCCTTCATCAAACATCCATAATATTCACCCCCTATGTCTGACCTCACAATTTTGATCTTTTTCTCAAGTTACTTTTCTACTTCAGTTTGAAAATTGTTGAACATTTCAAAAGCTTGAGACTTTTGTACTATGAGATATAGATAACCAAAAAGAGAATGGTCATTTATAAATGTGATGAAATAACGATTTCCATCAATTGTTTGATTAGGGAATGGTCCACAAATATTTGTATGAATGATTTCTAAAAGATCACTACTGCGAATTGCACCTTTCCTTTTAGTCTTAGTGAGTTTTCCTTCAACACATTCAATACAAATTTCGTCATCACTGAAAAGCAGTGGTGGCAAGACTTGTTCTTTTACAAGAATTTTCATTTTCTCTTTTGAAATGTGCCCTAAACGTTTCAACATTTAAAACTTAACGATCTTTATTGTAATTGAGAGAATATAATCCATCTTTATTGTCTTTGAATTATGAGATACAAAAACATCTTTATTGAATCCAAAATGAAACCAAGTCTTAAAAATCTTGAAATAGAAATTAAATTTTCTTTATTTAGGGTACTGAAACTACATCATCCAACTTTAAAATAAATCCTGAATCCAACTTAAAATCAACTACTCCAATAATATCTAATGAAAATAACAGCTAGCTATCTAATCCTCCTTGTCACAACATGTTGCCATGAAAGTGTTGTTCTCCCTAGCAGGGAACGGGTCAAGTACCACTATCTCACTGTTAGTGGTGGTACTGAAAATCTTAGTAGGTGATTCAGGTTAGGGCGTAGGTTTCATAGACTGCACTAGGAGATTCTTGTATTGAAGTAGCTTATTGATGTTTTGTCATCTCCCATAAGCGCATACAACGAGCTTTACAACGATCCTGAGATTTCTGAGACTGTCCTTTGTAGCAGTCTATATCCTTATGGGTCCTTCATAAGTCGACGACGTCGCTGCCTTAACCCTTTTTTGCTCCAGCTCATCTTCCTTCTTCTTCTTAATTAGCTCCACTATATTCTTTACTAGAATTCCATTCATGACAATTTGACACGAGTGACACCTATTAAATGCCATATACTTTTCCTTTTCCCTAAGCTCTAGGAGTTGTACTACAAAATACATACGTGAAATGGCTAGCTTGAATGAAATATAATCATGAGTGAGATCATAAACGATCTCATTCATTCCGAGAATAACTTCAAAATTAAACGTTCATATTTTGAAGTTTTATTCAG